GTTTCTTACCCGTCGTACCATGGAGAGTTGCGAAGGCAGCGTTGATAGCGGTGGGAAGTGATTTTTGAAGTGCAGCGTTTACCATTTGCTCAATATCAAAGGAAGAGATCCCACCAATACTACTGTTGCCTCCTTCAGTTGAATAAATGGACCTTGTGGGGCGATCAAAGGAATTAATTCCACCACTATTACTACTGCCTATTTCGGTCCAATAAGCAGACTTAGCGGAGTGATCACTAGGACGATCAGCTGGGCGTTCGGATGTCAATTTGGGCTTGGGTGCGCATGCGTGTTTCTTCGCGGATCAAGACCCCCAGCATACCGTCAAATTTCAGATCCGCTTGATTGAGCAATGTGGTGCGGACTGCCTCAAATTCTGGGCGAAGGTGCATTAGAAAGTGCAGAAGCCTGGTTTGTTGTCTCTCGGCAATAGTATATGTGGAAGATGGTTGAGGACGAAGTGCGGCCGTAATAATATCCTGCTCCATCCACAGTTCTTGGGCGGAGTTGAAATAATCAGTAACAGACTGATCGCCTTGTTCCAAGCGGGATAGAGCCATCTGCAGCTCAAACTGGCGGGCGACATTCACCGTGGAATAAGTCGCCTTCAGGTGTTGCATCATTTGATGCGCAGTCGTGAACAGACGGAGACTCAAACATGTTGAGGGATCGACAGATCCAAGCAGCCAATGGCGGACACGGGCATCCCGTTGATGCCATTGATCACTCTCGGAAGCGGGAAGAGTTGGACGCGGTTGCGGTACAGTGCCATCGAGAATACCAAGCATCCCATGGCCTTCTACGAACACTCGAAACTGGAATTCCCATAAAGTAAAATTTGTTGATGTCAGACGAACAGACGGACGATCAGAATTCATTGGCGGGAGCTTTGATACCATGTTGATCAATCGGAAATAGCAATAATCGTAAACGGACACCGGATTTACGTGGTATCCCTGGAGTGATCCAGGACTAATCCACGGAAGAGCTCTGAACGCTCTTCTAGCTACTGATATTATTGATAGATGTGTTATCCCAACCTCTTGCCTTATTCGGCCATATATACAAGGAAGAGGGAGCTGTAGTCGAACCCTAGGTCACCAGTCACACGCACAACCTGGTACCTTGCATGGGTTTCATGGACTTAACGTAAGTGGGCTAAAACAAGGTTAAAACTAATGGACCTCTTAATGACTATGTACAAAGCATAAACCCAAGATCATTAACCCGACTGTTATGACTCCAACTCTAATTCCGACGACTATCACAATCCACAGCTACTGACTTGACTCTCTTATTGCTAGGGTTTCTACCCATTTTCTTGGTTTATGAAATAAAAAAAGTAATACAAACTATATATACCTCCACCTAATGCAGACCATAAGATGGGAAGAAGAACCAAATGAAGTACTGGAATGGTCCTAGCCCGTAGTAATCAAAACAATCCATCCCATTTACAACCCGCTTATCAACAATAATACATTACTTAAGGGTTGTTTGCTGAGTTATTTGGTATATGTATGAGTCTTTTTGTTCATACATAAGTTGCTAATAACTCTGTCGATGTATTTCAAAATACCTCTTCTCCATGAGTCAAATGACATAAAGAGAAGGATATAAGTGGTTTAAAAAAAGAGCCACGAACATAGTTGGAAATTTTGGCCTAACTAATTCGTGAAACATATTGAATATAAGAGTAAATTGATAATATTATACAAAAGAATCATTTAATAATTACTCATTTAAAAACTTTTATACAAACAATACATTTACAAATATCAACTATTTAAATAAATGACTCATTTTGCAAAACTCGCCTAGGTTATTGTGGGATGAGTTAGCTTGACTACCCTCTAAAGGATTGGAAAAATGACACCCCTATTAATTATAGTTATTTTGGATATTAAATTTTTGTTGTATTTAATAATCTATGAGAATTTAAAACTCATATTAATTATTTTGTTTTTTACCCAAATTAAACCTATATTAATTAAATTTCTCTCTCTCTCTATTTTCCACTCTTTCCTTTCCGAGCAGCTTTGTTATTGCCTTCTCCCGGTAGACTCCTTCTGGACTTCTGGTCATACTCCCGCCGGCAGACACTACTTCTGACCAGATTTTCTCCGACAGACTCCCTCCGACCAACTAAAAAAGTATCACTACATTAAAAAAACTATCATTGCATAGATAACATTATCTATATACTATATCATTGCATTGGTACAACTACTATTGTATTGATACAACTACTATTATCCTTACTCTAGGGAAAAATGTAATTATTATGAATTTTTAATTTCCACATATTATTAAATGCAACATAAATTTATTATCTTAAAAATCTATAATTAATAGAGATGTCATTTTTCCAATCCTTTTAGAACATCTCATCTCTAATTAGGGATTATACTTTGCAGACTCAAACAAACGTAGGTACTTGATTGAATTAATCGGGCCGTTTATCTATATTTGACTCGGAATGATTCCATGCATTAATACAGGATCTCAACTTTCCCAGATAGACCCACTGGGCTGATCTTTACTTCTCTAATCAAATTTAGCTCAGAAATCTCAGACTTGGAAGCCAAATAATTAACATGTGCATATATACGAGGTCAACTGCCTTCCCAGCCACCACATCTGGTTTTGTCTTTTCTTTAATTATATTAAATAAATATCTTACGAAGGGAGCTGTCGCGGTAACTTCCTTTTTTATACAATTAATTAATGATATGAAGGTTAAAAAAAGAGAGACCTAGTGAGCATGCCAACTCTGAATTCAACCCACCAAATTCATATATATGTATAAGATAAATAAATCAGTTTGAAGTTCCATCAATCAAATTACGTAGGAAGCTTGTCTTACTTTTTAGTTTTTTTCCCCAAAACGAAGCTTGTCTTATTATAATTCAACGAAAAAGAAGAAGCTCGTCTCTTTATTTAACCATATAGTAAAATAAATAAAACCAGTGTACAAATTGTGTGCTAAGTATATGTGGTTGAGTTTTCATTGAGCTATAATTAAGAAGAAGAAAAAAATCATGGTTATTGATTAAATTTTAAAATTTCCAGAATCTAACAGCAATATTCTAGCTCTAGCTAAATGACCAGAATGTTGTTTTTCGCTTTGGATTCCACAATTGCATTATTGAAGATCCCACTAATTATCAGACTTTGTATCTTCGCTGTTAATGGCCAACAAATTAAAGTGGATAAGCCCACCAATTTTGGAAATTAAAGGATGCAAAAATAAGACCAATTACAAGGGTTGAAATATATATTAGTCCATCTAATCAATCATCTAATAAAGGATCATATGAATGATTTTGGATTTAACAACTATGCTGCCGACGTGAAGAGACAATATTTTCTCTGCTGTCTTTGTAAACATCATATTACCAGACAACCATCGCTCACAAATTCCACCAAGAAAGGAAGTGAAAAGTGGAGAGCACACAATTTGCTAGAGTAAAAATAAATAAATAAATAAATAAATAAATAAATGGAAGCCACGCAGGAAAATGAAGAGGCAATTGTATGCTAGTTCATAGAAGGTGGCCTCTTCATGTCATTGTAAGGATAGCCAAATTGGCAAATGAAATTGTGCCGCTCTCAAACACATATTAATTAATTATTAGTCAATCAATATACACAAGTCGCTTTTGCCCATTATTTTTTTCCTTGTTGGTTTAATTAAACTGCACATATAATAAGTCTATCGGTAGTGGTTTCTTCTTATTTGTCCCAACCCACCAGCTACATATAGTCAGAATCTAATCCAATATTTGAGACTACATTAATATTTGGACACTTCTGAAAAAAAATCGAAAGTTCTTCATGTAAAGCACTAATATTTGGATGCAAAAGATACTTCCAAATACAACCAAAAAAAAAAGTACATTTCGGAATAAGTTGGAAATGAGGATTATTTAAAATTCAAAATATATAAATTGTTGCTATTTGAATGAATGGATCATAGAAAGGTAAACTTTTGAATGGACTTATGATAATTAGTATCTTTTGTATCTTTTTCTGTCAAACAAAATTAAAATAAAAAGATTATCATTATATTGGTTCGTACTTCAATGTTAGAATCAATTCCTCATATAGAACCAGTAAAAATAGAATGTATAGAACAAAATATTGTTAGAGATATGTTACTATTCTATATTATATATGTTTTTGGATCAACAATTCTTTTTTTGGAAGGTCCGAGAGATCATAGACAACATGGGAGATTAAACATTCTTATTTATCTCTCATTACATTGATATTAATTTTGATTGAACTTTGCTTCAACTTGGTAAAGTTTTGATTTCACCAGAAAAGAAAATAATTATCCTTAGAACGCCAACAACTCCAAAGTGAAACTTCAGTTTCACTTGTACCTCCCGCAACAAAGCCATAGAATTTAGCTCAAACTTCATCCCTCAAATCCAGTAACCAAGGTTGAGTATCTATTGTTAATAAGAAAACAACTCATAGTAGGTTGCCCATTATTATAAAAAAAAAAAAAAAATCAACGTCATCTAGTTGCCCTTTCTTTTATCTTGGTCGATTATATATGAAAGAGGCAGCAACCCATTTGACATTCACAACAATCCCTTCCTCCATTAATGCTCATCCAGTGAAGCTCTCTTCTGATCCTCTTTATCCTTTATATACACCCTTCTTCCCCTACCTTTCCTTCCCTCCACCAGCACAACCACTCTCTCTCCATTTTCTCTCTCATCACTTGCTCCGTCCTTGTCAATTTTCATGTCAAGAATCCCATACCTCGATTCCTCCCATCCAGTATGAGTAACTCAATGATCCCCAGAGACAAGGTCATGTTCAATCTCGTCTACGACAGAGGATAGCTCACGCTCAACAAACAACATCCAACACACTCTGAATTCGAGTCCATTTCGTAAAGAAAATCTCATCCACACCACATACCATAGCTTGAAGCCATATATAAATAGCTAGCTAAGAAAATTTCGTTTAGTCACGTGTCACGTATGGAGGCGAAGTCGGCAGCGGGGAAGAAGCGGAACCTGATAGTCCAGACGTGGGCGAGGTGCAAGTCGCTGGGTAAGGTAGCCGGCGGGTCGGCGGAGACGGAGGTGAAGCTGCGGCGGAGGAAGAAAAGGGGACAGGTGGCGCCGGAAGGGTGCTTCACGGTGTATGTTGGGGAGGAGAAGCAGAGGTTCGTGGTGAAGACCGAGTACGCCAACCACCCCATGTTCCGGGTCCTGCTGGAGGAAGCGGAGTCGGAGTTCGGCTACAACCCGGAAGGCCCGCTGCTGCTGCCCTGCGACGTGGCCTGCTTCTGGAAGGTCCTCGTGGCGATGGACTCCGCGGATGAGGAGGAGGATGCAGCTGCTGCTGACGAAGGGGAGCTGTTTCGGCAGCTCAGCTGTGGCAAGTTTGCCGCTGCGAAGCGCCATGGATCTTATCGCCAGTTCTGCCCTTCCCCCATGCTCGCTCTCAACCGCCACGTTAAGTCCTACTAGCTTTGATTTGATTTGATGCCGTCCGCCCACTCAACTCGATCGTCACCCTCCACGTATTTGCAACCGTTGGATCTGTGGTCTGGTTACTCATTCTGTATGTTCATCGTCAGATGATATCGCTCCACAATCTCTATGTCTTTAATTCAGCGATTGGAAACATGGGAAGAGGTCGTAGGATATAATCAATTCGTGCATATCAACTTGTCTTGGATGGCGTCCCAATTCAAAACTGTAGCTATATGTTTGTTTCTTTGTGTGCGTACGTGTTTTTTTTTTTTTTTTTTTGTTTCTTGGTTTTCAATGTGTAAGAATGGGGAAAAAAGAGAAAAGGAAGAAAAAAAAATGTCCCATGAGTGCTTTTGTTGGATGATTTATAAAACAAACGAACTTTTTGTGGACTTATCCAACTTGATGTGTGGTGATGTTAATGTATGGTTTTCATATGTGAAATTATATACGGTATGCTTTCAGGGTAGGACATGCCTTCATCGTGGTCGACAAACGCGGTGAAGTCTTCGATGCGTCTTTATCGCGACCGCCTGCTGTAGTGATGTATTCACCGCTTTAGTCTGCCGCGATATTTGTCCAGGCATGTGTAGATTGAGAATTTTTTATATAACGTGTCTTTTGAAAAAAAGAAATTAAGAACATATATATTCCAGGAGAAAACTCCATGTTAAAAGGGCTTATTAGGTGTTGAAAGAGGTGAAGAGTCTGAGCCACCCATATTGCACCCAAAAAAAAAAACTAGCTAGCCATTAGACATAGGGATGGATGGGATAGAGTGCACCATACTAGCATAATTTATCAAAAATATTATGACAATTACTACTGATAGCATCTTTTTCTTTCGTCTCGTCCATTCATTGCTCTATGCCTTCCACCCTCCACCCCACTTCCACTTCTTTTGCAGTATAAAAGAAACGATCAGGTTATTTGTAAAAAAATTGTTTCACCTTGTCATCCTTTATAACTGTTACGACTGTTTTAGTCGTATTGGGAAATCAGATGATTCGACAAAGCAAGAAAATAAAAACAGAAAGCGCAGGACACAAGATTTACGTGGTTCACTAACACAATGTGTGTTAGCTAGTCCATGGGCAGGAGAGAGCCAGTTTTTACTATACTTCGAGGAGATACAAATTACAAAGGTGTATGAGAAGTATTTATAGTGACTTCCAGTCGTAGCGGTTGATAGTCCGATTCAAGTCACATCAACAAATCTCTAGCTTGACTTCAATCCTCTTCCTCTCAAATCTCTTATGTACTCTAATCCTTCTCTCCCTCCTGCCATCAATGCCCCGTAGGGAGGATTCACCCACTCAAGACATCCAGCAAATCCAAGCGGTGTTGGAACTTGCCATGTGGAACCGGCTTCGTGAACATGTCAGCATGATTATCTACGGTGCCAACCTTCTTCACCTTAATCCTCATCTCTATCCTCAAGAAATGATACCTCACGTCGATGTGCTTAGTCCTCTCATGATGAACTAGATCCTTGGCCAAGCATATTTCACTTAAATTGTCGCAATACACCACCGCCTGAACATGACGTAGACCCAGATCACCAAGCAATCTCTTCAACCATATTCCCTCCTTAGCAGCTTCTGTCAACGCCATGTACTCTGCTTTAGTAGTAGAAAATGTCACTATCGACTGCAGAGTTGCCTTCCAGCTCACTACAGAACTCCCAAGAGTGAATACATAACTGGTCATCGAGCTTCTCATGTCAACATCTCCAGCATAGTCATAATTTGAATAACCAGCCACTAAGCACTCTGCATCACTTTCGAAGATAATCCCCACATCTGACGTACCATTAAGGTACCAGAAGATCCTCTTCACAGCCTTCCATTGCTCCTTCCCATGTTGTATCATGTACCTGCTGACAACACTAACACCATGTGCAAGATCAGTAGGGGTGGACAACGGGTAACGGGTATTTGGGTATATTCGTACTCGTCCCTTTTTTTAGGGTTACGGGTACCTATATTACCCGTAATATTATTAACGGATGGGACTTGGGATTGTACATTCCTACATTGGGTAACCACGGGTTACCCGCAAATACTCGTCTGGGTAATATGGGTACCTGTTATACCCATTCAAAATACAAAGGCTGAAACTGAAAAGCAGAAAGTTGGGCTTCAATTGTCTTCAATTCAGGCATAGCTCAGCTCATCCATAACCCTTTCGGCCTTTCCTTTACCTTGTCGACAGACGAGTCACGAGTGACCCATCTCTCCCTCTCCTCGCGACAGGCAGGCGCTAGGCGCAGTCACCACGCAGCCAGCAGCAGCTCTCTAATTCCAATCGCCCATCTCTATATCGTTCCAATTTTATCTAATGTCCCCGAAGAGACCAATTCCAATCGCCCATCGTCGCGCAACTTTTGTCAACTCCTCTCCGGCTCTCCTCACCGCGCAGCTCGGATGAGCTGCTTGTTTATGGTTTCTCTTTTGGTGTTGAATTGATTTATTCTAGGAAGAGGCAAGGACAATGGAAATGCCTGTATTGCAATCACTGTGTTCTTACTTTTAAAATGAATGTTATCTTTGTATCTGTTTTTACTTTGCACTCTTTGATTACTAGTGATGTGTCTTTGGGTTGGGTTGGTATTGAAATTTCTTTAGGTGTTGATATTCTGTTAAGCCTTCCAAGTCATGTGCAAGTTAAACTGAATCTAAGGACTAAGAACGGCAGCAGCTTCATGATGTCAATAATTTTAGTATCAACTTTTTTAATTATGAACGTAGACTCTTAAAACCAACTGGTGCTGTCTAATTCTAATATGTTGGGTCTGAACCACTAATTACTCCTTTTTTTAGCTTTCCCCTTTAATTGGCAATAGAATTGCAGAATGGAAGCAACTTGCCAGATTGTTAATTGACAGTAGGCAAATTGGAGAACGGCAGCAGCTTGCCATGCCAGTTGGAACTGTCGAATGGATATTGTTAGTTGAGAAACTAACAACAGTAGCCATCAACTTCTTAATTGTTTTGGGTGCGTGGAATGCTTTATTTCTATGTGTTGTGATTATTCATGAATTTGTAGTTTGCAAAGAGAGAATTTATGATTGTGTGATTGGGATGGATTTTCTGATTGTTAAGAATGTGCAAGTTAAGTTTAAACTTTTGTTAAAATTTTAGTGATTCAAACTTTGGGTATTTATGGGTAGTATGGGTACCCGTTATCCGTCTCGTATGGGTAATGCGTACCCGTTTACCCATACGGGTTTGGGACATGGGATGGACTTTGGCCTCCAAACGGGGCTGGGTACCCGTTTCAAGCGGGACGAGTATCTCGTCTCGTCCCATTGCCCACCCCTAAAGATCAGTTCTAGTGCATACCATAGTGTGCATCAAACTACCAACTACACTAGCATATGGGACTCGCGACATGTACTCATTCTCAGCCTCTGACTGCGGTGCATAAACCGAGGATATATGAACATTAGAAGCACTAGGAGTATTTTAAGGGCTTTGCTGAAGACATACCAAATATGGACAGTATCTTCTGGATGTAGCTATTAGGTGACAAGAAAAGCTTCTTCTCTCTATCTCTGTAAATCTGTATACCCAAAATCTTCTGAGCGGCTCCCAAATCCTTCATCTCAAACTCGACACTGAGAAGCCCCTTTAACTTCTAGATATCAAACTTTGACCTCGCAGCTATAAGCATATCATCCACGTACAGAACCAGATATATTATCAAACCATCTGTTGCCTTGTTGTAATATACACAACAATCATAGGGATTTCTGTTGTAGCCTAGCTCAAGCGTGTAGCTGTCAAAACTCTTGTACCACTGCCTCAGAGATTGCTTAAGTCCATACAAGGACTTCTTCAGCTTACAAACATAGTCTTCTTTTCCTGGAACCAAGAATCCTTCTGGCTGAGTCATGTAAATTTCTTCCTCCAACTCTCCATGTAGGAAAGTTGTCTTCACATCTAGCTGCTCGAGCTCCAAGTCATAATGTGCCACTATCACTAGCAACACCTTGATCGAAGTGTGTCTGACCACTGGTGAGAAAATCTCATTGTAATCAACTCCTTCCCTCTGGGAGAAGTCTCCTGCAACTACCCAAGCTTTAAATTTATAGTACTCTTCTGAAGTGATTCCTTCCTTCTTTTTGTAGATCCACTTGTTTATAACAATCTTCCTTCCCTGTGGATGTTTGTGATGTGATCTCCATTGAATCTCCCTAAAAGCTGGAACCGATCGTTCAAGAAGCCACCTCGATCACTTACAACAAGTTGGAAATTTGGTTAAGTGTTTTGACCATTTCAGGTGACCCACTTTGGAAGTTCGTTATTCTCAATCGGCTTGATGAAAATGGCGTTCTAAGGAATGGTCTTGAAGCTGGGAAACTTGTCTACACAAAGGGAGGCTTGGAAGATCGAAAGGACGTCAGGAAGGGCATCTATCAAGCGGCTCAAAAGTGCGTGCGCAAACTGGAAATTTGCCAGGATGTAACTAAGGCTGGAAACATGTCCAAGATGGCAACTTTGGAGCTCCATTCACGACGATGGGTTGGGCGTCGCGTGCCAAGGTCTATATCACAGAGATGAGGAGTTGGATGATGGAATCAGCTGCTGGAAGGTTTCGTTTGAACGCCTTGAAGATGGTGTGGAGCCATGTCGTTTACTTGCATTCTAAGTCAACACTCTGTTTTTTTCTTATAAATTGCAGGTTAAGTTTCCTTGTTGAATTCTGCTTCCTTTTCAATATTGTGTCACGTTAAGGACTTCTTACCTTGTTAGGAACCTAGCTAGCATCTATTTAAAGTTCTTCTTGTGTTGTAATCAAACTAAGTTTTATCAGAAAGAACACATTTGTACACTGAGCCTTGTCTCGTGAAATTGTCCTTATTTGCGTGGATCAAATTTCATCAACCAAGCGAGCTCAGTATCAATTGAGTATACACCTCAATTGTGGATGAGTTGCAATTACAAACTCGATCGAGCCTCTTCCCCGACCGGCGAGAAGTTGCACATTCG